GAGTGCAGTGGCGCGATCTCGGCTCACCGCAACCTCCGCCTCCTGGGTTCAGGCAATTCTCCTGCCTCAGCCTCCTGAGTAGCTGGGATTACAGGCATGCGCCACCATGTCCAGCTGATTTTTTGTATTTTTAGTAGAGACGGGGTTTCACTATGTTGACCAGGATGGTCTCGATCTCTTGACTTCGTGATCCACCCGCCTGGGCCTTCCAAAGTGCTGGGATTACAGGCGTGAGCCACCGCGCCCGGCCTCATTTTACCATTCTAACAACGTGAGAGGCAGGTACAGTAATTATGTAAAGGGCTGAGAGGACACTGATGAGTTTATGTTAACTTGCCCAACTTCACACAGCCAGGCTCCACATTTCCTGCTCCTGATTTTTCACCTTCCCAAAAGGAGACTGGGTCACTGGGTCATTTGTAACCCCAATCCTTGGGGTTTGGGTGGCTTTGTGAGCCCAAAGACTGGTATAATCCTTCCCTGACTTACCAATCATTCCAATTCAAGTAGGAGCCCACACTGTGACCTGACATTTTGATTAGGATTCTTCTAGAGCTAGTTAGAAATTCTTCCTAAAGGCCACTAGCTGGCATGTACAACTGAATTTGAATCACAACCTGAAGCCCTATGCATCTCACAAAACCAGTGCTTCTAAGGTAGGGGTGAAGATACTTCTCCCTTCCCCGGTGAAGCAGCTTCTGGAATCTTTTCTGAAGTCAACAGATAAGACCCATGAAGGAAGAGCATAAAATCTTGACTTTACATTAGCAAACCAATCCTATTCCTTAAAACAGTCTGTGTGAAGCCATTCTGAGCTTGTTTCGGTTTCATGCAAGAAGCAATTTTCTGGAACCATGAAGGATGAGAGAGGAAAGACATTTCCTGGCAAGAGAAAAATATGCTAGAGTAAGAAAGTAGAATCCGTGTTTAAAGAGAATAAAAACACACCAAGATGGTTACAGCAAAGGTCCTGCAGTCTTATGAGCAAAAAATTTGGATGCATCAACATATAAGAACTGCATCCTCCAAGCAACAGCCATGGTCAAGCCAGATTCAAAAGAGCCAAATCTCTTATGCCAGCAGTCGAGGGCCTCCACTCCATCTTGCCTCCTCCTATTTATCCCCACTCTCCCACCACTTCCACAGTGGTACTAAGTTCTGCCACTCACTACCAAGCCTGACCCTTTGGTCAAACCCCATCTCCTCTAGAAAATGGTCTCTCAATCTTCCTACTCTCTTTCACCGAGGTCTAACTCAAGACATCTTGAGGACAGTACTCCTAGTCTGAATGCATCATTTACTTGGCACCTATACCACCACCTTGCCACATTATTTGGTACCTTTGTCCTATGTCTCCCTGACTATATTGTAATCTTTTGAGTACAGAGACTCTGTCATAATCTGGAACCCTAGCATGCAGCATACTTCCCAGTACACAACAACTTATAATTTTAACTTTGGTGACTGAATACTCTTAGCTTTTCAAAAGTCATCAAGGAGAAAATGCTTAATAAAATGAATGAAAAATCAAAGTCATGATTAAAAGTACTTAAATAGGCACAGTTGGTACCACACACTAAACTGCTGAATCTATAATACTTACCATGAGCCAGTTCATGTACATGAACTCAGTCATAACTTTGAGGTTACACTATTACCTACATTTTACAGATAAGAAAGCTGAGGGACAGAGTGGTTGGCTATTATAAATAAATAATTGGTATAATGAGAGATACAGAAAGTTTAAGTCCATAAGAGGTTCAGGGAAGGCCAAAAACTCTAAGTTTGTCTTTAAAAAAAAAAAAATTAGGTGAAAGAAGAGGTGGAAGTATCCCAAGAAATTTAAATATACATGAAATACACGGAAAATCATTACTTGAATCTTTTGGTATATGGTCCTGACTGTTTAAAAACACCTGAAAAGAAAGAAAAGATGAAGACTAGAAGGGAAGAAGTAAAACTGTCTTT